GGCGGGGTGCGCGGCCAGCGCCGAGCGCCGGGGCCGGGCCGGGCGGGGCCGAGGGGGCGGCGCCCGCCGCAGTCCCGACACGCGCGCTCGCGGCCGCTCGCCCAGGCCCTGACTCACATTCCCAGCATTCCCGAGGAGCCCGGAGGGGCCGCGGCTGGGGCCTGGGCACCTCCGCGGGGGGCAGCAGAGAGTCGAGCGCGCGCCCGCGCCGCAGCGCCTCCCGGTAGCTCTGGCCCCCCACGCCTCCCCACAGAAGCCCCTCCAAAAGCTGCCTGACACTTCTGGGGAGCAAGAACAGCACTTGCCTTTTAAGTTAGCTTGTAGGACCGGGGTGGGGGTTCCTATCCCCTGACACCATCCTAGCGTTTGCAGGTCCTTAGAAGGATGAGTCCACAAGACACCTACTTTATTGGCACCTTTCTGTCCCCAGGGAAAGGCCAGACAGAAAGGTGAAAAGGAGAACAATTAAGGATCCAATTCATCCTATGAACTGGGTGTCTCATCTAATTCCCTTTTAAGTTAGAAAGAGTTCACGCAAGCGCACACCGTTTTCGGTAAAGCGCAGGAGAAGGTAGAGGTGGTTTTCATTGCCAAAAGCTTCCACTCAACAAGAAGTCTTGAACCCCTGCTGACGCCGCTTCGCGTTGGGGAGGGAAAGTAGTCAATTCCACAACAGCAGCGGTTTCCTTTATGTCCCGGGGAGTCTGCTTCCAGCAACTTCAGTGGCCAGATACGAACGTCTCCTGCTGGGAAGCTCAGCACAAATAAAGCGGATCCAGACCCAGCGGACGGTGAGGGTGAGCGGAGGGACGGAAATATTAGCACAGTGCCTGGGGACAATCCTTCCTCCCGCCCTGAAGAGGAGGAAGTCAGATGTTAACTACTCAGAGAACAGGAGGATGCCTTCCTTCCTTTTATAGCCCTGTCGTTTAAGGTTTTCCCAGCCTCTGAGCTCTCGCACTCTTCTTTCCATTCCCGACAAGGAGTGCTCATTCTCCTAATCCTGATACTTGAGGGACAGAACCAAACTGCATCTATCGGGTTCTGTTTCCACATAGGTCCTTGGCAGCCGGGCTTGTTGCCTGTGACAGCCGTTTGGGATTCCTGAGCTATCTCACACTGAACCGTGACTCTCCCAGTTCGCTTCTCTGTTGCTGTGGTTAAAACAATGATCAAAACCAATTTGGGAGAGGAAAGGGTTATTTGGTTTACACTGAGTTACACTTCCACAGCTCAGTCCATCATCAAGCAAAGCCGCAAAGCCTGGACAGGAGCACAAGGCAGGAACTGAAACAGAGGTCGTGGAGGATCTCTGCTTACTGGTTTGCTCCCCATGGCTGGCTCGGTTTCCTGTCTTATTCAGCCCAGCCAGGACTATAAGCCCAGGGATGGCACCACCTAAGTGGGCTGGGCCTCATCAGTCATCAATCAGGAAAATGCTGCCACACACAGGCCAATCTGATGGAATCAGTTCCTCAGTTGAGGTTCCCTGTTCCCAGAGGACTCTAGTTCATGTCAAGTTGACAACACTGCCCAGCTCAGTACTCAGCACAGTGACAGCACGCTTTAAGTGTGTGTGTGTGTGTGTGTGTGTGTGTGTGTGTGTGTGTGTGAGCATATGTGTGTGTCACATGTGGATGTGAGGGAATGAATGCATATGAATGTTAATGAGTGTGTGTGAGTGTATTCGTGTGCATATGTGGTGTGCACAGACATGCATGTGTGAGTGTGTGAGTGTCCTTTTGCATGTTTGTGTGCGTGTGTGTGACTGTGTATGTGCATACATACACGTGAGCAGGCGCTTACACTTTCTCAATCACTCTCACAAAGACTGTAAAATGGTTGTGATCCTTCAGAAAAGCCAGGTGAGATATCCAAGATAGTTTTAATTTTAAATACAGTGTTCAATGTTCACTATTGATGGCATTTATCCTCCATTCCTTTGACCTGTGAGTTCTAAATGAGAATTCTTGGGTGTTCAAAGATAATGTATTACATGTATGTAGGCCCAATATTTTTCCCACAAAAAAAAATCATGGTTTTCAAAAGATTTTTTTCAAAGTAAGTCCTTGTCTCAGAAAAAAATATAAAAAATAGTCATTTATGTAGAAAACAAAGGACTGGAGATTTTAGAAGGTGAAGCATCACCTTCATCCTCCCTCGGACTTAGCTTCTCATCTGAACTAAAGGAAGTCAAGATCTCATCTGGATAGTGCTATCTAACTTAACTTAAATATATGTGTGTACAGACGTACTCAGCTACATGACCCCACAGCCAAGTGCTAACAAGTAACCATTCTGAGGTCTTACCCAAATTACAATATCATTCCAAAGACATAGGTCTCATCTCAAAGAGAATAAGTAACAGTTTGTTCTGAAGCCAAAGTGATTGGCTATGGTCCAGAAACAGAAATGTAGGTTATCCCCAACTCGTGTTTCAATACGGTAACATTCTAATGAAGTTTTTATGGTTACAAAACAATTTAAAAAATGTTGTAAGTCAAAACACTTTTCAAAAAGAACTGGAGGAAACCTGGGGTAGGAGGGTCACAGCCAGGCAGGGGGTTTGTGCTGGAGCTCTCAACATCACTTGATGACATTCTTAGCTTTTGGATTTGCAGATTTACCCCAATAGTCAAAAGGATGTCAGGCCATACACAGAGGCAAGCAATAACTGGCTATTTGGGATGCTAAGACAACCCAAGACAATTGGCTCTAAATCTGCCTTTCAGCTCTGCACAATCACTGAAGCTCTACTCAGTCAGTTGGCCGGGTGGAAGGTTTAACAGAGTAGCTTTTGCTCAGTTCCCAAGCGGTTGTGTCTCCCCCCACAGTCGTCTTCGCTGTTTCATTTTCTTTCCTTGGTTTCTCACTTCGTTGTAACCACTTCCCCAGCAAGCCACAAAGAGCACCATTTTGTGGCAGATTTTTTTCTCCAAATGTATTCATTCATTTAACAAATATGTATTTAGCATCTACTCTTGGCCTGGGGGTTCAGAGTCTCTCCCCTCAAAAACTAAACAGTTTAGTAAGAGCAACTGATTTAAAAAATAAAAAATAAATAAAAAGAAAGGCAACTCCAACCATCCACCTAAGAAGGGACAGTACCGGGAAACTGTGTTAGCAAACAGGAAAGGCAGCCAACCATCCTGAAAAAGGATCCCAAGACAGAGCTTGTCACACCCCAGTGTGCCACCCTGCCCTGTGTGAGGCATGGAGTGGCACTACACGTGTGTGAACCTAGTCATGATAGGCTCTGGGATGGACACCGGCCCCTGAGTGGACTATTGATGGGCTCTCCTCGCCACTTGAAACTGGACTTAGGCAGCAGTGAATGGCCAGCTCTGAACTATGCTGTCCAGAGGTGTTGTGCATGCCTGTGATCCCAGCACTTGGGAGGTAGAAGCAGGAGTATCAGGAGTTCAAGACCAGCTGGGACTACATGAGACCCTGTTTCCAAAACAACAACAAAACCCACTCCAGAATGGCAAAGTCACCCAGGAGCAAAATCTAAAAATGCTTGCGCCAGGAAGCTGGCACAAGCAGGAAGCAAAACAGCCAAGTATACAGAAACAAGATTTCTTAAGACAAAGGACTTGGTTATGCAACAGCTTACTAGATGTTCCCAGTGTGTGTAATTCACCAGTCTCTCAAACTTATGGTGCTTTAAATATAGTTCAAGGTTTTTTGGGTGCCAATCATCTTCTTTCCCAGGGTTGCCCATCATTTTTTCTGACATACAAGCCCCACCTTAAGAATGTCATTATGCCTCTTCTTGCGTATCCATACCATCAGCCATGTCTGCCAGCTCGACCTTGGCCTGAGCCAAGCCACCTCAGTTTCTGAAACAAAAGAGAACATGTATGCCCAGATAGAAAAGGTTCAGAGTTCTAAAGTTTTAAAAATATGACTGTAGCCAGGTGTGACAATGCATGCCTATAATCCTGATGCTTGGGAGTCGAGATCAGGAGTTTAAGGTCATCCTTGGCCACATAGTTTGAGGCCAGCCTGGGCTGTCTCCATGTTACTCAGACAGTTGTGTTTTATCATCAACCGTCGTGTGGATATGACGGTCAATGACTGGGGCCTGTATGGCGCAACTGCCCAGGTTACACAGGGAGGCAGTTTTATGGATTCTCCACACTCATTTTGAATTCCACAATAGGAGAAACAATTACACATATCTGTATGGCCCGTGCTATGTGCTAGGTCTCTCTCTAAGTAGTTTTTAGTTTGTTTTTTCTGCCCCTAAAGCAGTTACATTTAAGTGCCAGACCTGTTTTCCTTCAAACACTAAAGACATCACAAAGAGCAAATCTATTTTAGAAACTCACAGAGTTCTTAATCAGAGACCTATCCGGGTTTAAATCCATAAATGCTGAGATGACCTGATGAAAATTTTAACCGAGCTACCAATAGAATTTGTGTATTAGTTTCTACTCCTGCCCTTGTGATGAAAAGACAGGGGAACAACCCACAGGAGGGAGCATTTGTTTGA